GTATGAACCATGGGGTTAAGGTTTAGACTTCTTCTTCCATGATCTTTACCATGGAATGTATTTATACCTCTAAAAATTGCCTTTAAATTTCCTGTTTCCTAATGCACAGAAGCAGCCTCTCTAATCTCATCTCAGGCTATCCTGACTGTTCCCAGTGAGCTCCTTATGGCTGGCAGTAACAGTCGTTTGAAACACCACCCCATTTGCAGCTCTTTGCGCCTCCGGAAAGGGTTAAGCAGGTTCTGCTGATTCACTGAGGTAGGTGACTCACTACCCCACCCGGATAGAGGGGAAGTGGCTGTCTAGAGGGAGAGGATTCATACAATGTGAAATCAGAAGGGACCATTGTGAACTTCGAGTTTGACTGAAAGAGCCGGAAAGGCTGTATAGTTAAAATTCAGGATTATCAGCTCTACAGCCGGGTAAGTTAAAAGCTGTCTGAGTGTCCAGGCTGTCCTTCTGGAGTGTGGGCAGAGGTGGGGTAGGAAGCCAGAGGCAGAAGGCTTGAGGAAAAAGCCTACACTGGAATTGGCCGCCTTGGTAAAGCTGTGTCTGGGCTGCCCTTGAAAGCAGTGGAGGAAAGGCAGCCGCTCAGTTCCTTCTGGAAGTTTTTTGTACCATATCAGATCCATGAATCACATTCCTGATGGCTCTTGTGCAGTTTTTACAGTGGTGTCCAGCAACACACAGACTTCCTTAAAGTACACTTTGACATCTGAGAGTATTTCCTTTTAGGTGTTTGGTCCCTCATTTCATACTATTTATCTATAGTAAATTTGTTAATAAACAAATGCAGAAGGAAATTAATTATTCATTCAATATTCTTTTCTACCTTAATGTTTCCCAGTAGTGTATCAGTTGGTAGTTTGAATATAACTTCCTTTCTTCCTGATAAAATCCTGGTTGTTGTGGAAACCACAGATTTTTGCCCTTAATCTTGAGCTGCCTCTGTTTGGTAAATCTGTGCAGGTTATCCTCTTGAAAACCTCTTATATATTTACACAACTATTCTATCCTTTCTGTAATGGTAGTCAGTCTAACCTTATAAGCACCAATATATATTTAAGTCCAAATAAATTGTATCTGTAACTATATTAGTGCCCTGTCACTTGCCAAACAGTTACTGTGTTTGAAGTATTTGTAACAGTTAATTTTTGTTCTTGTTGTTTGGTTTTGTTTTTTTTTTTTTTGTGGCCAAATAAAAGTCATCCTATTCATTAAATATATCTGCTCTAGTTAGAGTCCTTGAATTGACTTCCAAGAGAGCTGCACCTGTCCATTACAAAAAACAATAGTGAGGTTTGATGCATTGTTCCTTGGTTTATGGACATCCTGTGGGTAGTTTGCCTAAAAGTAGCTAGGTCAAGGCCACTGATTCTGTTGTCCCTGCCTCAGTGAGCCATTAGCTTGTGCTGACCTTTGATCTACCTCATTAATTTTAATTTCTAATGAAATAAAGGCCCTCTGCCAGGCTCATACTATTTACATAAATAATTTACTCAATAAAATAGCAAATGACTACTCCACCTTCTAATGTAATTGTAGATGACGAAAATTTGGTAATAGATATTCACTTCCTGTCACTTTGACCCTCTCCTCTCCACATCCTGGGGAAAAATAATAGAGGAATCCAGCCATAGATCAAAAAATGAAGGCTTAGTTTGGGAAGGGTGTGAGAATTTCAGAACTGAGGTCAGCTGTGAAAAACACTAACAGGAAGAAGCCTACAGGTGCCTAAAACAATTCCTGTTGATCTCTTCTCCAGAGGGGTTATAACAGCTAAGACAACAGTTACTTTTGTTTCCACCTCCATTTTTTTTTTCATAATTTTGAGGAATCTGTGTTGTCAAAATCTGGCTGATGGGTGTGATGCTGTATTGCTGCTTTGAAAAACGTTGTTGTCCCATGGAAGTAGGATTATTTTCCCTGAATCCTAACTGTGAACAAGTTCCTACAGAGGAAGGAATTCCTTTGATAAGGATAATGAACCTGTTGGCCTAGCTCTGTCTTTGAGCTGCCGAATCTTTACTCTATGTTTTCATATGTTATAACTACAGGTTAAATAAGGAAATTTTTATTTTTGCTTTGGGGATTATAGATCTTAGCTGTATGCTGTGTTTCCTGACATGGCCCAAATTCTGCCATCAAACCTAAACAAACAAAGAAACCCAAATATCCTGCTCCATTAACTAAAAGTGACATAAGCCATAAATAATAAATGTACTTATAAAGAATAGATAAATGGGTCCATGTCATTCATAGGTGCAATAAGCACCTGCTGTATTTGCTTCATGCTTCGAATTATAAATACATAGAGATAATGTGAGGTTATTTCTGCAATGAAGTTACTTATTGATGTAGCAGTACAATAACCCATTGCTCTCTCCCATGTTTTCACTTAGCTTTTTAAAAATCTTTTACCTGTCCTGTGCAACAGTGAGGAAGAGTATGCATTTCTGGGACCTGGTCATTTTTTCAGACACGGAGTTACCTAGTCTCATTTCTGATACTGGAAGAAGTTCTCAGTCTGATAGCTTTGAAAACACTAGGGAAAAATATTTCTATGTTGCTAAACATCCTGTGCCTTTCGAAGGAGGGAGGAGGGAGAACCTCACCATACTGTCTCCTTTCCTGACCCTTTGTTCCTTGCAAACTTGAATTGCTTGTGCTGTTTATCTTAACTTCTTGTGCAATCTTTCCTCCAGTCTCTTCTGTGAAAATACCCAAGTTAAAGGCAATGGTTGAAGCTGACAAAAACACAAGACTAGAAAAGCCCTTTTGATCAGAACAGTCCCCCAGCCCTGAGCTGCCAGGAAGTGATTTAGTGAAAAAATATTAAATATCACAAATAATATTCTATAACAAAAGTTATATGTAGTTTTGAACTTCCAAACAACTAAAATTTTACTGAGTGGTATAGGACTTGAAGTATGGCTGGATAGCTGAACTATGATAATTGTGTTTTCTCCTTTTGAGAGCAAGTTCCTAAAACAGGAATTAGAGCAACTGAGTGAAAACAGAAAGCAAACCAGGCTAAGTTGTTGGATTATGTACTGTAGTCTGCAAGAAGAATATTGTCAAAATGTTTTGTCATAAATATCAAGTGGTTTTTTATATGAAAATGTATTGGGTATATTTATCTGCTTTCTCCTCTTTGCCTTCCCTCTTGAGTTCTCCCCACCCATCCCACAAATGATTCTCATTCCCCTCTAAATGTAATGATTTAGCTATTGAATTGAAGCACCAGTATAGCTCTTCACTTACACAAGTAATTTTTCTGCATGAACTAGGGCTAGACGCAACTCTAATGTGTACTGATGGTTGCCCTACTACTAATAGGCAGTTGAAACTTTTTTTTTTTGAAGGCATGAGAGATTAACATTGCTTGTCTATAAGCTACTGTGAAATTTATCAGAATCCACTGGGGCTTGCATGGACACAACCATGCCGGTGCCCAGCTATTACTCTGAGTGTATCTATCTGAGCAATGGTGAACTCGGCTCCAGTACTTACTTCTTTTCTTCAGATTGAATCGTACAGTAACTTGACCCTTGTCAAGAAGTCTGTCTGCCATTCCAGGTGTCGTGTGCCAGAGCTGCGTTGAGAACAGGTGCCCCGGGCGGGGGATTTTCTGCTTCTGTACCTGGCCTGAACAAAAGTGAAGAGGTAAATGAAACCAGTAAAGAAAACAAAGATAAAAGTAATTGAGTGACTGCTGCGCTCTAACTGAAGCCTAGCAGAATTACAAGGTCACTTCTGCATCTACCACTGTGTTGATTCATTAAAGACTTAAAATCTCAATCAGAATTTCTAACAGGGCAAGATTTCTATGGGGGCATCATTAGCCATATTGCAAACATCTTTAACATACTTATCGTCATACTATGTGTGTGCTCATCTTTTAGATAAAAGCTCAGAAGCCTGGCATGAAACAGCACTAAAACCTAAAGGGAAACTATAAGCTTTGTTCACTTGTCAAGGGAAAAGTCCTTGAGACCAATTTTTGTAACTTTTATTTTTGGCATGCCTATGTAATACTGAGCGGGATTATTTCCATGGGAGAAGCATGATGTGGGGAGAGGAATGGCAAAAATTCCAAAAGCTCCCCCTATCATTAAGTGAAAAGCTAACAGAGGCAGAAGGAAGCTCGGTGTTATAGCATAATACTTAATTCTGCTGTACTCTTCTATTTTTTTTAAGCATCCAGTCTGTGCCCCCACAAGCTATTGCAATCTCCTCCTCCTCTAAGGCCGGTGCAGCTGTTTGCATGCTGCAGCTTCGCAGTGGCACCACCTTGTGGTCGTGGTAAAATTTGTGCAAAAAAAGAGCCTGTTTCTTAATTTGACCTTTGAAATTACGCAATTGTATTTATTGTGTTATATGACAGGCTCTTACATCTGAAATCTACTGGCAATCATCCTCCCAAATCTGTTTAATTAATTAATTAAAAGCTATCTGTTTCTAACTTGTAAGAAGAAAAGCAGAAGTTCAAGTTTTGCTTAAACCTAGCGTTCGCCTATAACAAATAGCTGAGACCTCTGATGTACTATAGGGATTTTTTTTTTTTTCCAAGTTTAGCACCGCTTAAAAACATGGCACAGTGAAATGGCCAGAAAAGCATATAATTCATTATAATCTCTAGTATAACAAGAGGATGACAGGAAAATGAAGAACCCTTCCTACTTTTTTTACAAGATGGTTCAAAACTTCCACTATTTTGTCACAGTTAAGGTCCTTAAAGTAGAATTTAGGTCATCCTTTGCCTTAAAGGAATACTTGGCAGCCTGTTGTCTCTTGAATGATTCCCAAATGGAGCTTGGATTAATAATTCTAATGCTGTGCATTTTTATCAATATTGAAGCATTCTAGGGCGAAGTGTTATCATGAAAAATTTAAATTGGAGCATGAGGAATGCCTTCCTGCTGTAGTCAAGCACACATTTAATTTTTATCACACATTAGTTCATGATAGTTTAGCTGCTGAGAGTTTAGCCTGGAGAAAAATCCTTCTGTATGTAAAATATGCACATGCCAAAAATGATGTTCAAAGAGTTAACTACAGTACATAGCAAATGTATTGAAAAGTAGCTGTTTATTAGAGATATTAAATATTAATAATACCAGCCCATATAAGAATGTATTCAGTTCTGATTCAGTTCTTACTATTCTAACACATGCACACACTGCTTACAAGACTGAAAAATAATTACGGTCCAGTAATTTATATACTTCAGGAAGTTGATGGAAGGTTTTCAAGTGCTGGATTCTTTCAGGAAAGCTCTACTTCAGACCATTTCAAAAAAATCAAAGGCTGGTGTAACTGGAGATAACTTGTTCCAGAGCTGTGAAGCTGTCCAGGAAATCTTCCTCTTCAATTCCGAATTTTGTGTACTGGTGAATATAGGCTCTGTGTGTTGAAGCCACAGTAGGAAAATGGGTAAGATATTAGAAATCAGTGAAGAATCTGACACATGAAATCAGATTGTATATTATTGTAACAATGTCAAAAGAAGATTGGTTTCCACCCAGTAACCATGCTGGTTAGTTCCTACTGTGCTCTCGAACTCATTTTGTAATTCATGCTTATTGGTAAGTCATGACTTGTTTCTAATAGCTTTGTAACTTTGTGTATTGCTAAGGAAACAAAATTGCAGCAGTTTTCCTCCTGTACCTTTTAATTGTGGAATTCCTGTGCTAGAAACTCATATTTAGCAGATACCTGCTGTGACATGCAGTAACCTTGGCTTCATGACGATCACAGTGAAAAGGCATTTTTTTCTAGACTTCTTGGTTCTAATGAAAAATAAAACTAATAGCACGGGAGCCTTAGTAAACACACAAATCCCATAAATGCTTTTGAACTGAGCCAAGAACTTTTTTCCTGGACTGTACAGCATGTCTGCACACAATTTAGAAAGTATATGAACAGTAAAAGAGTTTTTATGTGTTATTTTTTAGAATGGTCACACTGGAATGCACTAAATTTGGGGAGTTTTAGTACTGAGAAAATAGTCAAATTGACAGCAGTAGAATATGTGGTCTCACTTATCCACAGAACATAAACACTGTTCTGTCTTCCTCTCTGTTCCTCACCCTGCCATCTTAAGCATAAAAATGTCTACACTAAAGTGTGGAAATAGTCTTCATGCTGATTCACCATTACTTTGCTGAAAGAGGGAGCTTTATTTACAATGATTTTGCTGCCACTGAAGATATTGGGAGTTATAAATGAAGTATCAGCATAATTATTTTCACTTACTTGGAAGCAAACATATTCCAAGCTTTTCCTACAACATTGTCAATTTTTTTTATTGCTGACCAAAGAAGCAGACTTTTCATACTTGTTAAACGCTCTTGGTGTTTTCCATGCATTAAAAGCGTCCCGAGGGTTTAGCCAGGATGTATATAACGAGGGATCTCGGAAACTTCCTGTAGCAGAAATGAGACAGCCCTTTTGACAAACATAGAGTTACAAGCTCCTACATCTTGATTTCAGTAGTCCTGTGTGACCTAATCAATGCTCAGCAGATCAGTTCAGGCCTTGAAAAAAATCTGCAGAGTGGTCAGTCTGTTGAAAATACAGCTTTTTCAAACATATTCATTAGATTATCTAGAAGCATACTCTTGTATCCGTACTTCATCTGCAAGCTATGCTCATCACTGCAGAAGCAGGCAAATATGTATTCTGACAATATAGCCAAGAATCCTATCATATATACGGACTTCAGCCTCCTCCTCCTTCCCTGAAGTGCTTCAGGAAACACAGAATTCTGTTGTAAATACAACAGCCTTAAACAATTAGACAACATGGTCTTGGACATTAAAATGTTTCTAGAGGGAATATTGACCTTAGTAGTCAGATATGTGGCCTTGGGTTTTCTTCACTTTCATCAGGTATGGTTGCAAAGAAAACAGTGAGATGTGAAACAAGAATCACTGAGGTATTGTGTTTTTCCTTCTTACCTAAGTCAACGCTGTGCATATCTTTTCCTCGCAGGATAACCAGGTTGGCAATGGAAGTATTGAAATGCAGCGGCTTCTTTGTGGAATGACTGGAAAGGATGGAGGAGCCTAGACGTGGTGGTCGTACTTGCCAATCAATACCTACAAGATTTTGGCAAAAGAGATATATAAAAGAAAGTTAATGTTTCATGAAATACGGATTCGGACTAGCTGAACAGTCAGATTGTAACTATCACTGTGCTGCAAGCTGAGATCATAAGCAGCGATTACACAATTCTCAGAGAAAACCAGTGCTAATCCAGTAGTATTTGCCTGGTAGTTACTAGTCTTACCAGAGACAATATACTTGTTTCTATACTTAGCAATCTGCCAGCCCATTCTTTACATAACGGGAAGCTATACTGAATTCCCCATGTAAATGATATGGGAGAGCTAAGCATTATTTTTATTAGTAGAAGGTGTAAAAAGAAAAAGCATAGCAGAACCAAGTATCCAAGGAATGTTCGAAATGAATCATGTAAATTAAGTGCATGGCCAAAAACTGTTGGTTTGTTTTGTGTATTTTCAATAGCTATAATTAACTGAGATGTCTGGGCACAAAAACAGGAGCAAGCTGGGAGCTACTGTGGCAGCTGAGTGAATAGTTTTTTTTGCTGTCTGAGGGAAGCAACTCGTTTCTGAACTGACTAAAGCTAGTCAGTGAGCTCCACAAAAAAAACGAGCTTTATTTCAGCTGCAAAAATAAATCCTTAAAGAGTGATAGATACTGAAGATGAGAGAATGCTTTTTACCTTCCTCCATTTTAGCATTAGCAATGAGCATCTGTCTTAAATGTTTGATGAGTCCAGGCCAACTGAATGTGCTATAAGCAAGGGAGTTTTCAGGCATCTGAGGTATGTTACGAAGACCCAACATCTTGAATTCGGGGTGTGGAACTAACGTCTCCATTAAGGCTCCTGAAAGAAGAAGTTAACAGCTGCTCATGTTTGACAAAAATATTGCATAGGCTAGCTAAAATAGGAGAAGAGAGTGAGGAATTGTACAAACATCTAGCAATTTAAGGTAAGAAACAAAGCAGGATATACAAAGATTAATTTGACAAATATATGGACTCACATCAGACAAAGTAGTGCAAATTTGCTACGTACTACTAACATGCTTGTTAGTAGCTTTTCTTTTACAATTCAGACTTGTCTCGCTCTATAGTCTGGCTCAAAATCTCAAAAACCCTAAGCACAGTGAAAGAGATTGACAGACAGATGTGAAAGTTTAATTTTACAAGCAAAACTCTTGGCAATATGGGTAACTTTCTCTAATTCCTTAAAAATACAGAAGTCAGCCTGTTGCTACCAAATTGCATGCTAGCCTGTCTTCTGCCTGAGCAAAACACAAAACTTCCATTTTATTTCAGTTTGTATAAACTTCTAACCTAACGTGAAATGTAGAGCTCAGTCCAAAATTAACTGTCCTGCACAAATTTCCTCTGAAATGTAAATAGGTACAAGGGTGTCTGTAATCACTGAAAAAGGAGTTCTTTTGGCAGAGAATGAAACCAGAAGCTAGGGGATCTATTTTTGACTCCGGTATAAAATTGGGATTGAACTTCTAATTTAGTCTTTGGGTTCACTTTTCCTATCTTAAAACTTGGGATGAATCCGAATACTTGAGTAAGGAGACTGAAGAAGTTAAATTCACAACATGAAATTATTACAGAAAGATGTGTGAGAATGCATTAGGCAGCTATATTATAGTTAGATACCTAACGGGTTTCTGCTGTAGTGTAAGCCACTTTCCGCTGTGTAAGTGGGCTGGAAAACACTCCCCAGTTGATGTGCAATAACTTGATTTACATCCCTGAAGGAGATCTGTTTAATATTCATCAGCTGAGCACAGATCTTGTGGATGACATCATTTTCATGCACAAGAAGGGCATCTGATGACTGGTACAGATGTGACAGAGTTAAAACAGAGTTGTAGTTTTGAACAATGACCTGGAAAAAAAACACACACAAATGAGTCAAACAATCTCTGTCTAGTTTATAATCCTCTGGCTACTGTAATTTCCTCAGTTATGACTTAGGAAGTGATTAATTTTCCTTGTCAAAGTGCAGAATGAGGTAAGGAGCTAGCAAAGCTTTTTCATGGAAAGAGAGCAAGACGTGTGAAAATCATGTTATCCATCTCACTTCATACAAACATGCTGGAATAAAATCTGTCTGGGAAGTGATTATAATGCTGAGATACTATCGTAACACGAGATTTCTAGTTAGCTAACAGAGCTTCTCATGAAACTGCATTATACTTTAGCACTTATATTATCAAGATTTTTTTTTTGTGAAATGACATGTACCAAACATTAGGCAAACAATTCATTAGCTGCATTACTTTCTGTCATGTTGGACATTTAAAAAGTAAAATGTACCTCTTTTCTAGTTTATTTCAGTTGTAGATATTTTATGTTTAAAAGTAAATAGTGATTATAAACTTGTAGAGTATCTCTGGGAAATACAACATTCACCTCCCCAGTGCCGTAGGGCCAGATAACATGGTTGAGTACAAATGAGGTTGGAAAAGCATCTCTTAAACACTGGGTCACAAATGCTCCCAAGCCGGATCCTGTACCACCAGCCATGCTCATTATTGTGAAAAATCCACTGAGACGATCGCATTTCTCTGCTTCTTTTTGTACCAGATTCATTATTACTTCTTTGTGTCTAGGGCCGTGAACAGAGTAACTGTTGAATAACAGACAAAACAGTGAGACGTGGCAGGTTCTATCAAAATAAAAGCAGTAACCTGAAGCTATTCGTAAACCATACTTTTCTTATTATTATTTATATAACCTCACATTATGTCATCCATTCTATCTGCAGTAAACAATCCTCAGCTGTGACATTTATTTTGCAAAACAGCTGTTTATAAACTATCCTTATTGTTTCCTATTCTTAAATCAAATATATTCACTTGATTCTAAAATGTTACATTTTCACTGTAAATACCAATTTCACTTTGCAAAAAGCAGTTTAGAAATTTCACTCCTACATATATTGCTACTTTAACTTAAAAATAAACCAAGTTAATGTTACATGCTCCGTACATCACACAGCTGCAATAGTACCACACCTAGAGAGTCTAGGCAGCTCATTAGTCTCTACAGTTCCCTTAGTGAAGCTTGGAACAATTGTTCATACCCATTTGCCCAGTTGTTCCCAGACCCTTGCTTCTGACAGAAGTGTGACCGATCATTGTATTTCCAGTAGCCAGACCCAGCCGCCACTGATAAGGTCTGGCTGATTACTTTAGGTTCCATGTCAACAAGTACAGCTCGGGCAACAGGTACTGGATAGGAAGAAAAACAAAACTAAGAATAATGTGCCAGTGTTGGAACTTGTTTACATAAGATGGATGGACTCGCACCACGGCCCAAATAGTACTCCTCCCACCTACTTAAGCCAAACTATAGATGGGACAGTACAGGCAAGTACAGAAAGGAGGACTTGGCAATGCCCTGGATTTCTGGTGAACCATCTATTTTTCCAAAGAGAAATCTGAACTCTAGAGACCATAGATCTTTCTGGAAAGAAGATACTTAATGCATTTGATAACACCCAATTCAGATACTCTGGGTCCTACTCCATGGAATGATCTATCTACAGTAGAAAACAGAGATGTTTGGTAGAAAAGATTATGCACATATGCTTAGTTTCCAGCTGTGTTATTGGCAGACTTGCTCTGCGGTCTCAGACACTTTACTGCACTGATTCTGCTTCCACGGTTGTTAGCAATGTCGTGAAGGCAGAGGGTTGTGACAATTCTTCAAGAATGAAGGTAGAAGACTTTTACTTTGTACACTTATCTCTGTTAGGCTGGAAACCAGACCCTCTGTGGGAAACAAACGCTTAAATGCTGTACCTTCAGCTTCCTCCTCGCAGAAAAAACGTTCTTTGCAAGCATCATGGTAGGATTCGTTCTCCTTCTTGGAACATAACCCATGTGTGCCATAGACGTCACTGCAGATAGCATTAAACACCTCATGACCAATTTGATTACCACACTGACCAAGCTGGACTGTGACTATCGACATTCTTATTTTGTATTTAAGCCTAAAAAAAAAAAGTATGCCTTTAGTAACTGTGGAAAAGAGAGGAGAAAAAAAGTTCTGACAAATAGATTTCTGATCAGTTTTGCAATTTTTTGAGAACCTCTAGTTAGAAGGAAGAGGTTATGCTACAGTCACTGGCTATTTCTGGGGAAAAGCAGGCTGTCAGCACTTTCTCCTGAACTTCAGAAGAATGCAGTTGGCAGTTTACAGGAAATCAATGTTTACTGTTGCTATACATCTGGAGGGAGCTGAAACCAACCATACAGCAAGAGAAGTCTTTGTTTTCTTACTTTTGCGTAGTAAGGAAGGATAGAAACAAGTAATTATAACTCAAAGTTACAGGATTAGGCAGTAAAAGCATGATAAGAAGGTACGATATGCCTTTAGAAATGTGAAGCCTATTCAAACATCTAGCTGAATTCCAGTCCTGCACTGCTATGGGCCTGATGCCAAAATCTGCTGAGGTGACAAAAGGATTCCCTAGAGTATTCCCCTTGCTTCCATCACAGAGAGCAAAGGTTTTGATTCAGTACTGGTATGTTTTGACGTTTTTTCCCTACTCAGCATTTTGCAGTAGCTCTGGTTTCTCACTTCTATTCTCCTTTCACAGAAACAAGGTCAATTTTTTTTTTTAAACTCACTTCATTATTCTGGATTGCTATTTTTCATTATCATCCCAGCTGCGCCGCAGCACTTCTGTAACAGCATTCTTTGGATAACTGCCAATGCCTGTAACTTGATCCTGCTGCATTTTGCAGGCAGGTATGTGCTACTTTTTATTCCTGCGCTTGATTTCAGCACTGCTGCCAGTCTGCACCTCACAGCCCAAGGCCAGCCTGTGTGTTACTGCAAGACCGAGTTACTCCTCACGGCAGAAAATAAATAAATAAGTACATCAATAAATAGATGTGTAACTGATTTCCAGAAAAGGCTCATGTCCAACCCAGGCGTGTGACACCGACCCTCCCGTGCCTACTATGTGTGTGCTCTGCGCATGTCACTCGGAGCAGGCAGCTGTCGCTTGGGCGCTCTTCTCTGGAGCTGCAGTCACCCGCCTGCGAGGGGAGA